CTCTCTCTCTCTCTCTCTCTCTCTCTCTCTCTCTCTCTCTCTCTCTCTCTCTCTCTCTCTCTCTCTCTCTCTCTCTCTCTCTCTCTCCGTGTGAGTGAACCTGTCACGATAATGAATCTTCCTCTTTTTTTTCTTTTTTTTTCTTTTTTTTTCTGGGATGTACTACCGGTTGTCCGAGGCTCGGCAATAAAGTATGAGGCTCGGGAATGATCGGGCTACTGGTAGTCCGAGCCTCGGACTTGATAGCTGAGCGAGGTACTGGTGGTTTAAGGTTTGTTTTTTTCCCCCATTGCCAGCGCCTTTCAAATTTTCCCACCTTCGGCAGCTGGACCACACCGTAGCGAGACGGACATCACCAAATGAACCAAGGCATTGTCTCCCCCCCCCCCCGGCCGACTATAATATTATGAAAATGGTCGTCGTGGACCAAAAGGAATCGTCCTTGGAAGACCACCCGGAGGATAGGTGGAATCACGGCGGGAGTTTCCTTCAAATCTCCGAGGGAAACTTCCTTCTGCCTCGAGGACGCCACAAGGAGCGTCTAACGAGCGTCATAGCCTAGTAGATTCTGCCTATACAAATTTTCAGCGGGAACTTGCAAATACATTCGGGATTTCTCCCAGGGGTTGTGCTTCATCCGATCTGAAGCCTCCACAGCCACGGTCAGACCATGTGGAAAAATACTCGAAAGGAGAAACAAACCTCCATTTGGCGCATGGCCCCGGTATGCTAATTGCTCTTGGAATTTTCGTAAGGGATGGTGGGCCCGGTTCCCAGCATGTGTTGCTCCCCACAAAAAAATTGGAGCAGAAAAAAAAAAAAAAAAAAGGAGGGAGAACCAGGTTGTGGCCTCTTCGGCAATTTGGTTTTTTGTTTTTTTTCGGATGGCAGCAAGAAGAGGAGGACGGACAACCAAGGGCCGACATTATCAGGGCCTTCCAGCTGCATTTCCGAGACTGGACAACGGTCGACCCCAGGATGCCACTGAGGTCGGCAGCAGACTTCCAGAGGACTGACTGGGGCAGAGGAGGCATGGGTGGAGAATAGGACTCAGGTTTCGGAGCCCCCTGCGGACCCCGTAGCAGCATTCGTTCATCTCCGCACTCCTCCCTCCCGGTCATCCAAAGGATAGGTCTGTTATTCTCGGCCGGATAATGGCCTTGGTATATCTGATGGTGTAATGACCCGTTAAAACACAGACTGAGAACAGTGCTGATTTCTGAAGTTCTGCCAATGGAATGGATGCCTTGCTGAGATTCCCGCATTCTGCTGTGATTTCTAAGTTGTCTATATGTGCGTGCTTGTGACCTGCGTGCCTGTCTGAGTGTTTGTCGGTATGAGTGTGTGTGTGACCCGCAAGGGTACTTGCTTGTTTGGTAGGCCCGTAGGGCGGGTACTTACCTATGGCCGTGGCATTGAGGGTTGTAGCAGGGAAAAACACTCAAGTGGCGAAGCTAGCGGCCCCGTGGCCCTTGGGGTAGCGGAAAAACACTCAAGTAGGCCGGTAGGCCGATACTACACCCCACTGCAGTTGGCGTGAAGGGGTACTGGAGGCCGAGCAGAAAAAGACAAAGTTGGCATTTTTAGAGTCCAGTAGCGGTAGGGTAAGTCGAGGCCGGTACCAGTCCAACCAGTCTGAGTCTAGAGCCTGTACGGGTAATATCAGGGTCTACAATGATGTTTCCCTCCGAAACGGAGGAAGTACCGGTTGCTTGGAGAGGCCGAGCGGCCTGGAAGTCAACGCCCAGGAGGCAAGCAGGCCGCTATATCAAGAGGCCAGGCGGAGAGCCCAGCCTCATTCTTCAGTGTGCAAGTTTGGCGACACGCTGCCAGAGCGCTCGCTGGAGTGGCGCTGGGTACTACAACTTTGCTGGGAGGAAGAAGCCGGGACCTCCCACCTTGGCTATGGTGGAGCTCTACCGGTAGGAGGAGGAGGGAGAAGGGGACCAAGGGGGAGAGTGGGGAGGTACTTACTGGCTATGGTAGACACCATCTTCATCTCCTTGCTAGGCGCTGCATCAGGAAGGCCCCAGTCGGGGTAGTGCCGCATCAAGAAAGCTCGGGACAGAGTCAGGCATGGTGGCTGAGTGAGCAGCGACATAGCTGCTTGGTGATGACCTTGAAGTGGGGCAGCGGCATAGCTGCTTTGGGTTGTCCTTTGGACGGGAGGCTGAAGCCTCAGTAGTCCACCATAGCCTCGGCCTGCATGTAGAGGAAGAGGAAGGGTTGCCATGGCTATGGTGGACCTCATGTTGAGCCTGCAGTAGAAGTGGGATTCGGGCATTGATTCTGGTTCAGTCATTCAACATTATTATTGTTATTTCTTGTTTGAATAAGAGGGAGGAGATAAGGAGGAAGGGATTGATTGGCGAAGAAGAAGAGCCTTGACGTTGGTCTATGCTGGAGTACATCATCATCTTCTTCTTTCTACCCTTTTTCTTCTTCTTCTTTACCTCTCTTTCCTCAAGTTCATTCATTTCTTTTTGCAATTGGATGGCATTGTACTTTCAGATGAATGTATACTTCGAAATTGGCCAGGATCGTAACATTGGTATCGGAGCGGATTCTACTTGTTGGCGAGAGTTGACTTTGCTGCCATAACCCTAACCCTAGTGGTAAGGGCTAACCACTTAGGGTTAGGGCTGGAAGTTAGGGTTAAGTGGGGCAGCGTGGTAAAGGGAAGCTTCTCCCACCTGGCAGGGCCGTGTAGGGTCGACACTAGACCCAGCCAGGTTGCTTGAGTGCATGTTTGTGGTGGCGAGACACAAGGTGGGACTTCGTGATGCAATTTCAGAGAGGCGACAGTGAAGGGCACCTACAACTTGAATCTGGACTTCAAGGAAGACGAGGAGTGACTTTAGGGCTCCCCTCAAGTAGGCGAGCTTGAGGGTGGAAGCCATATCTGCACCTACGGACTGCAAGTTGCTGCTTTGATCTTCAACATCGACGGGGGATCCGGCTTTGTACTTTGGTGTAGATGTTGACCCTCTTAGATGATAGGACACTAGTGTAGAGGATGTTCATTGGGTCAGGAGGACTATGTGAGAGGGGGGGGAGTTCTTTTCATCTCAAGAGCCCGGCCACTCAGGTAAGTGTCGTGCCACCAGGGTGCCCATGTATGTGTGCATGGAATTGACTGCCTGTTGGGGTTCTCTGGGTTCTTCTTCCATCCTCCATAGTCTTGATTGTGTGTGAGGTGTGTGAACTGCCTACTTACCTGATGAGTGTATGAATGGAGTATCTTGTTTGCCATGTGATATCTCTCTACAGTGCTTTGTTTATTTCATTATGAACGGCTGTAGTCTACAGATTCTTTCTGGGGCAAAATTTTGTTTTTCAATTTGGTAGGGACAAAGTAGGTCTTTGTGGAACTCTTGTTGGTTGGGACCCGGTTCTGACTCCACTGGGACCGTTTGGGACTCAGTGGGACCGGGGCCAAACAAGAAGGGCCCCTTAGGCCAAATCTGTTGACATCAGTTACCTTGCTTTATCTGATTGGGACTCGGACTTTATGCTTTCGGACCAGGACACTCGCTGCGGAGCACGATCCGCCGCCAGACTCGCACCTTGGACACCACTCAATTCTCTCTTGCATTTCGCTGTACATCTTGAATCTGATTTGTTGTGTTTTCACGGAGTTGAGGCCGGCTAGGCTTGGGAGGACCCCATACGTAGTCAGTCCAGACTGTGTGGCTGGATCAGATCTCTCTGATATTCTTTTTTTTGTTTTGATGACTGCTCTCCAGTCCAAATGAATTGCCGCTCCGGCTAGGAGTTCTACCTTCTCTTATGACTGATTTCAAGTTGTTTCTTTCATTGGGTTCATTAATGCCTGCGTCTACACAGTCGCAAACAAGAGAGAGAGAGAGAAGAGAGAAGTTTCTGAGTGTTGCTCTTGAGGGAGTGAGGAGAGGGAAGAGGAGTGTTCGTCCAAAACAAGTGAGGAAGTACGAACCTCTCTCAAGCTTGAGAGACTTATTGACTCCCTCGTCCTTCATCATGGCGTCTGCAGCAGACTGGAAGCTGCAGATGGACGCTGCCCCTGAGGCAGAAAAACCGCAGTATCAGTTCTTCTATGATAAAGCTTTGAAGAGGGAAAAGGAAAAGAAAGAGAGAGAGAGAAGGGATAAGGTGCAGGCTCATGAGGCCGTCTTTAGCACCGTGTCTGCTTTGACTAATGAGGAGGTAGAAGAGAAAACGGTTACCCTCCTCAGAGCCTTGGTAGAGGTCCGGGTTGCTGAGGACCACACTGACCAATTCGCACAGGTGTTTAAGCAGCTCAAGGAGTTGCGCGAAGACATGGCCAAAATGGCGCAGCAGCGCCGTGACCAGCTGCAACAATTTGCTAGTTCGCAGCAGGCTCAGGTTGTCTCTCCACTCACCTACCCTGCTTCCAATGTTGCGTGTCAGTCCAGTTTTGCCCCTCTAACTGTGTCAACTTCTTCTCCTTCTACTTCTTCTTCTTCTTTGAGTGTGATTAACAGCCAAAGCGGATCTGCAGCAAGTACAGACCCCGCTGCTGCTGCTGCTGCTGTAGCGGCAAGTGGTAGTGTAGGGAATTCTGGAACCGTTGCAGTCCCGAGTCCGGACCCAGCAATGGCAGGGCCAAGTGGTAGCTTTGCTTACATCGACAGGAAGGCGGTGCAGATTTCGTCCAAGTATGACAGAAAGGACGACATCGAGTCTTGGATCAGCTTCATGCGATCCTACTTTGATGTGTTCGGGACACCCTCGTCAACCCAGTCGTCTATCCTAGGGACTAATGTGGAGCCCGTCGTGAGAGGTTTCTTGGAAACCCAAGCTGTCCAATTAGGCTATAAGAGAATAGACGTGAACAAATGGTTGAAGGCCACGCCTACCACCACACTCGAGGACCTCTTGATCAAACAGTATGCTGATCCACATGCTGCAGCTAAAGCAAGACTCAAGCTTGACAAGCTCAAGCACAGCAAGTGGACTGACACCATGCATAGCCTGCAACAGTATGTTAGTAAACTCTTTGCTACTCCAGATCTGGAGATGACTGCGCAGTCTTGTTTGGATGTGATAAAAGGTACGGTCCCCTCTACTCTAAAAGATTGTCCAGGGCTCGGGCTCAGCGGATATACAGATTGGCTTACCCTCATGCGGGACTTAGTCAAGCTGGAGGCACAAGACCTCCCAGGTGGATCAAGTGGCAAAAAGGTCACCAACCGCAAATGGTTTACAGCTAGCAACCGTTTTGCAGCACTCGATCTGCTTGAGGTTGACGAGGAGACCCTCGTGGATGAATCTTCTCTTGATGACGATCAAGAGCAAGACTGCGGGGCATCTTGCTCTATGTCAGCCCATGAGTCTGAGTATGTAAATGACGAAGAATCTATGAATGCCTTTAAAAAGACTGCCTTTAAAAGTAAGGGACCGAGGACCACGATGAAGAACAACACTAACACTATCCTTCTTCCCAAGGGAGCGAAGATTTCACCCAAACCGGAAGACCCTGCCACAAAACCATGAGTAGATATCCGGATCAGTGAAAGTGAGTGGAAACACAGGGTGAAGAAAGGGGTTTGCCTGCATTGCATTTAACCGGGACATTCAGTCAAACATTGTTTCAGATTGCAGCAGGGAAACCAGCAACGGGGGTAGAGACATCATCAGCACACTCTACAGAGGGAGAGGCTGAACATGTAAATGTAGATCCTTCTTTGGATTCTGATCCCACTCAACAAACCTCTCCTGAGACCCCATCTGATGCTGATTCCAAGGCTGAAAAGATACACATTCTTTATCATTCTATACAAGGAGCCTTGGGTAGAGTCGGAAGAAATTGACTTCCATGCTCTGTTGACACGCTGGGCTCATATGAAGCAAGAACGCGCGCAAGGGAGAACGAAGTTAATCTTCTTCAAACTCTACATTAACGGTCATTACATCCGTGCGTTGGCTGATTGTGCTGCAACCGTCAACTACTTCTCACCGCACGGCATTCGTAAGGCACGCTTGGGGATGAAGCAAGTGACTTTGCAGAATCCTTGCCGGACCCAAGTAGGCAACCAAGAGGTTGTCACATCTACGCATGCAGTCAAAGGTGTGCGCATTACCTTTGACGCCGATCGCACGATCACGCATGGGTTGAACTTTTACGTCCTTGATCAGTGCCCCTTCGACGCGGTTATTGGCTTGGGCTGGTTGCACGCCCAATGTGAAAGAACCACGTGGAATACTCACAATTCATGGTCAAAAATGCCATGGGAATCGAGCGTTCAGTCCTCTTGGATGAGTCGCGCGAGTCCCAAGTAACTTTTCTCAATGCAACGCAATTCTGCAAAAAGTGGCGCAGGCGCAAAGTTGATGAGCAAACGTATACAGCCTTTGTTAGGCCTGCTCATGTGCCTTCTATTTTTGCTATAGATAATGATTCTACTTTGCATGTTGTTTCTACTTCTGAGGCAACTACTTCTACCTCTACTAAATCCATCTCTAGTCCAAATGACTCTATTTCTAATCCTATTGTGTTGGCTGCACCTATAACATCCGATATGCTTGCTCCTAAGAGTGATGATCCCACTCCGGAAGTTCCGCCGGAAATTCGCAACCTTCTCAACCGATTTCCTGAAGTCTTGGACAAACCGCATGGAGTTCCCGTGCGTCCAATCTGACACAAGATCGAGTTGATTGAAGGTAGCACTCCTCCAAATGGTTGTGTCTATCGAATGGGCTCAAGCGAATTGGAGGAGTTGCGAAGGCAGATTGATGAGATGATTGGGAAGGGATGGATCAAACCAAGTGAGTCTGAGTTTAGTGCACCGGTTCTGTTTGTCCCTAAGAAAGGAGGCAAATTGCGGATGTGTATTGAGTACCGTGGATTGAATCGGATCACAAGAAAGAATGCATATCCTTTGCCATGCATCGATGATTTGCTTGATGCTGCAGGTGGGTGCAAAGTCTTCAGCACGATCAATCTCAAGTCTGGCTACCACCAGATTGAAGTCGATCATGCAGACCAGCACAAAACCGCATTCAAAACTCGCGATGGGTTGTACGAGTTTACCGTCATGCCCTTCGGATTCACGAATGCACCAGCCACCTTTCAAAGTCTCATGGACAAAGTGTTCCGCCATCAGATTAACCGGTTTGTTGTTGTTTATCTGGATGACATACTCATATTCAACAAATCGATGGAGGAACACATGAGACATTTTGAGGAAGTGTTGCAGGTCCTCAAGGAAGCGCAACTCCATCTCAACTTGGAGAAATCTGAGTTTGGGAGGGATAGCGTCATCTACCTTGGGCACCGGTTGTCTACTGTAGGTCTAGAGCCTGAGGCAACCAAGGTTGAGGTAATCCGCAATTGGCCTCAACCGACAAATGTCCGCGAGTTGCGTTCTTTTCTTGGTCTTGCCTCGTACTATCGCAATTTTGTGCCTAAATTCTCTATCATCGTTCGTCCGCTGTTTAGATTGACCAGCAAGAATGTGTCCTACACATGGGATGGGGAATGCACGACAGCCTTCCAAGCATTGAAGGAGGCTTTGGTGAGTTGTCCGGTGCTCCGCATTGTAGATCCCAAACTCACATTCGTAGTAACTACGGATGCCAGTTTATATGGGATTGGTGCAGTGCTGCAACAAGATGACGGCGACGGCCTACGTCCGCTAGAATTTTACAGCAAACGTATGCCCAGTCACAAGGTAGCTGCCTCCACTTACATGCGAGAACTCTATGCCTTGAGAGAGGCACTAGACCACTGGAAGCACTACCTCTTGGGTCGCCATTTCAAAGTGTTCTCAGACCATGAGACCTTGAAATGGGTTCAGACACAGAACAATCCCTCAACTACACTGACCCGTTGGCTGCATGAGATTGCTGTGTATGATTTTGAGATCAAACACAAGAAAGGTTGTTATAATCGAGTTGCGGTGCTTTGTCGCGCCATCCTGAATACATGACTTTCCTTGTGGGTTCCTACGACCTGCGTAAAAATCTGAAGGAGGAACTCATAGAGCATACTGCCAAGGATCTGGAACTCAGTCCCATCCTTGAGCAGATTCGGGCTGACCCTAGCAGACAGCCTGATTTCCATGAATGTAAGAGTCTTCTCTCCCGACATTACGGGAAGCATGACCGATTGTGTGTGCCCAACCATGAGCCGATCATGACTCACTTCTTGGATTTGGCTCATGGCCAGAGTGGACACTTCGGTGTTGAGAAGACATACGAAAATCTGTTGGAAAAGTTTGTGTGGCCTGGAATGAAAAGAATGATACAAAGGTTTGTGGCTGAGTGTGAAGTTTGCCAGCGCATCAAGCCGTCTCGACAGAAGCCCTATGGGTTGTTGCACCCTCTCCCTATTCCTGATGGTCCAGGTGAGTCAGTTTCCATTGACTTCACAGACATGGGAAAGAAGAGCAGAAACGGCTATTCACAAGTAATGGTGATCGTCGATCGTTTTCCAAATTTCTGAATCTAATCCCATTACCACCTCATGCACCAACTGACCTTCTGATCGAAGAATTTAACAAAAAGTACATTCTGCAGTGCGGACCCCCGAAGACTCTTGTGAGCGATCGGGATACCAGGTTCATAAGTGCAGATTGGAAAGACTTCACATCCCAGACCTATGACATGAAACTCAAAATGACGTCTGGTCGACACGCCGAAGCCAATGGACTGGCCGAGGAGATCAACCAGGCTGTGATCCAACTTCTCAGGGTTCTTATCGTGCCTGACCCGAACTCTTGGGATGAGGAGTTGCCGATTGTGCAGGGGTTGTACAACAACTCCATCCACTCTTCCACCGGGATGACGCCTAACCGGCTGCACCTTGGATGGAAAATCTACAATCCCTTATCCTATCTGTTCCTGGAACAGCCACCTGGCCTAACACCTGGCCAGCCAAGCTATAGTGCTAAGTACGATCGTTTGCTTAAAGTTGTTGTCGCAGCTATGGAAAGGTGACGCAATGCTATAATTAAGCATGCAAACAAAAAGCGTCAGCCTGACCCCTTCACCGTGGGAAGTTATGTTTGGGTCAAGATATCTGAGTTTTCTGAAGAAGAAGGCGTATCACGAAAACTTCTTCCTCAGTACTATGGTCCCTGGAAGGTGCTAAACTGAATAGGTAATGATTCCTTCGGTCTTTCCTACACGATTGATGTGCCTACTCATTTGCGCACATACCCAGTCTTTCACGCATTAAAGTTATTTCCGTATGAGCCGCCTGAGACGTTTACCGAGAATCGATGATTCCCCGCGCAATCAATGGCGGTCACGAGGTTGATAGGATTGTCGAGCACAGTGGGAAGGGAAAAAACAGACAATATAAAGTACATTTTCTATACCATCCACTGAATGATTTCTACTGGATTGCTAAGAAGGACTTACTGCAGAGTGCACCGCGCGTCGTTAACGCCTATGAACGATTGATCAGTTCGGAACAGCAACCAAAATTCACTGCTACCCTCACTCCTACGGAACCCACCTTATCTCTCTTTGCTATCTACGCCTACGATGCATTGTGCAAGGACTCCGATTGAGTTACTTGCTCAAAGGGACCTCGCTCTTGAGGGGGGGGTAGTGTAATGACCCGTCAAAACACAGATTGAGAACACTGCTGATTTATGAAGTTCTGCCGATGGAATGGATGCCTTGCTGAGGTTCTCGCATTCTGTTGTGATTTCTAAGTCTGTCTGTGTGTGCGTGCTTGTGACCTGCGTGCCTGTCTGAGTGCTTGTCGGTATGAGTGTGTGTGTGACCCGCAAGGGTACTTGCTTGTTTGGTAGGCCCGTAGAGCCGGTACTTACCTGTGGTCATGGCATTGAGGGTTGTAGCAGGGAAAAACACTCAAGTGGCGAAGCTAGCGGCCCCGCGGCCCTTGGGGTAGTGGAAAAACACTCAAGTAGGCCGGTAGGCCGATACTACACCCCACTGCAGTTGGCGTGAAGGGGTAATGGAGGTCGAGCAGAAAAAGACAAAGTTGGCATTTTTAGAGTCCAGTAGCGGTAAGGTAGGTCTAGGCCGGTACCAGTCCAAGCAGTCTGAGTCTAGAGCCTGTACGGGTAATATCAGGGTCTACAATGATGTTTCCCTCCGAAACGGAGGAAGTACCGGTTGCTTGGAGAGGCTGAGCGGCCTGGAAGTCACCGCCCAAGAGGCAAGCAGGCCGCTATATCAAGAGGCCAGGCGGAGAGCCCAGCCTCATTCTTCAGTGTGCAAGTTTGGCGACACACTGCTGGAGCGCTGGCTGGAGTGGCACTGGGTACTACAACTTTGCTGGGAGGAAGAAGCCGGAAGCTCCCACCTTGGCTATAATGGTGGAGCTCTACTGATAGGAGGAGGAGGGGGAAGGGGACCAAGGGGAAGAGTGGCGAGGTACTAACTGGCTATGGTAGACACCATCTTCATCTCCTTGCTAGGCGCTGCATCAGGAAGGCCCCAGTGGGGGTAGTGCCGCATCAAGGAAGCTCGGGACAGAGTCAGGCATGGTGGCTGAGTGAGCAGCGGCATAGCTGCTTGGTGATGACCTTGAAGTGGGGCAGCGGCATAGCTGCTTTGGGTTGTCCTTTGGACGGGAGGTTGAAGCCTCAGTAGTCCACCATAGCCTCGGCCTGTATGTAAAGGAAGAGGAAGGGTTGCCATGGCTATGGTGAACCTCATGTTGAGCCTGCAGTAGAAGTGGGATTCGGGCATTGATTCTGGTTCAGTCATTCAACATTATTATTGTTATTTTCTTGTTTGAATAAGAGGGAGGAGATAAGGAGGAAGAGATTGATTGGCGAAGAAGAAGAGCCTTGACATTGGTCTATGCTGGAGTACATCATCATCTTCTTCTTTCTCACTTCTTCTTCTTCTTCTTCTTCTTCTTCTTTCCCTCTCGTTCCTCAAGTTCATTCATTTCTTTTTGCAACTGGATGGGATTGTACTTTCATATGAATGTATACTTCGAAATTGGTCAGGATCGTAACAATGGCAATGTACTATTTCTTTCATGAGGGACCCTGGGCCCTGTTCCCAGTGACACTCCCCACAAATAGATTGGTCAATATGTATAGATGAAATAAGGGCGGGTGCAACACGTTTTGAAATCCTAATGGAAAAAAAAACTCGAGCCGGCAAGGAAACCACGTGCCAACTCGAAATGAGCAATTTCGGTCCAAAAGTATTCGTTGGGCTTTTTTTCTTTTTCCCTCTGATACCGCAGCCAGCCCCTGTAAATATGACACCCAGTCTGACACCACGGCCATCTGTACTTCCGTTGCCTTTTCAAACTTGGCACGGTTTTCTTTCCCGACACGTGTTTTTTTTGCCCATTCGATACTCAAAGGTGACATGAACGTACTTACCTCTACATATCTATATATAATATTGGGGTAACTACGGCGCTGTCACAAAAGCAATCTGTAATTGCATTTCAAACTGCATTTTAGCAGTTTAGTCAGGGCCCGAGTTTCAAATGCAGTTGAAACTCGGGCTGGCCTTTGTGAGCAGTTCAGTCAGGCAAATGGCCCCTTTTTTTTTTTCTTTTTTTTTTTTCCCTCAAGCGTGGCCGAGACATCTCGGTTGTGGCCCCGCCATGTGACAGGAAGCAAACAACACTGAAAGGGGTGTTCTTCTTAAAAAAAAAAAAAAAAAAAAAAAATCATCAGGAGGCTGAACTCTCAACAGTCTGCATAATCCCCTAACTGATTACACTAAGTGATAATCCACCTTAACCCCGACTACGGTTAAGCATCAACGACTGCCCGACAATCGATACCCTGAGGCGGGCACCAACCACTGCCCTCAAGGTACCTGTGACGAAAATCAAAGCAGACTATCACTCACTCACACCAGATGGAAAAGTCTATAGACTGTCGGTTCACACCCCATCACAAGCCAGCAAAACACCAACGAAACAAAGAAAGGTCTATCACACCCAATAAATACGCTCCAGACTCGCCGTTGGCACTATAGGCATAGCATGGTCGCGTAGTGACGGCCCTGACCACTGCAGCTCGACCTGACAAGAGAAAACCGTAGCAGGGTGCTAGCGAAGTCTTGGTATATATATGTATATATATATATACAGGGTTACCTGACCGAATGTTCGGGGGCCCCTGGGCTGGCCCCCGAACGTTCGCGCGTTCGGGGTCCGAACACCTCCAGGTTCGGCCCCTGCCAAAAAAATTTCGGGGCCTAAACATAAGTTTTTTTTCTGAATTGTTTTTTGTGAGTTCTCTATAATGTAACCTACACGCCTATAAATTTTGAAACCATTCCGCTAAGCCAGAAAAAAATCATAAATCGTCAAAGATGGGGGTGTCAAAACGTGCTCGCCCACTCACTATTTTGTTTTTTTTTCACTTTAAGTTTTCGTTTTCACTTTATTTCGGGGCCTAAAACAGTTTATTATTTTTTGAAAAACTTTTAATCAGTTATTGATTATGTAAACTACATATCTGTAAATTTTCAGGGCATTTGTCAATGCCAAAAAATAATTGAAAATCGGCAAAGATGGCGGTATCGAAAAGGTGTTGGCACACTCACTCATTTTAATTCTCTTTTTATTTTTTATTTTTTTTATCATAGTGTTTATTTTCTGTATTTGATTTTTAATTCAAATTTAATAAAGAATTTGGATGTAGTGCCAAGGCAAATGTTGTTTAGCATCCAGCGACCTAGCTCAGTTGGTAAGGCTCGCAAGTGGCATTCAGGAGGTCATGGGTTCAATCCCCATTGACCTCATGACTTCTTGGGCTTACTTGGCACCCGCTACCCAAGAGATAGACCATTGGATCCCCCGATCGGCATCAAGCAGAGCCTGCTATGTTCATAGGGGAGGGGCCTGAGGGGAGGCACGGGGGATTGGTCCGCTTTATCCCTGGTGCTACCACCCGTCCCCTAGCCGGTATCCTGCAGGCTCGAGGGGCCGTAAAAACACGGCTCTGGTATGCTACGGGTTTCCCCGTATGCCTATAGGAAGGAGTAGCGGTAGGTAGGTAGTGTGAGGAAAAATTGAGAGAAGAGTATAGTTAAAAAAAAAAAAAAATGTTATTTA